GGTTTTGCTTTGAAATTTGTGATAGCAAAAACAGGAATTTTTACAACTTTTTATGAGAAAACCGTCTGTATAGGAGGAATGTTATTCTAGATGCCATTATTGGTTTCATGTTAGTGTTCAAGCTGCCGAAAGTTTCAACAATGGTGAGAAGCAAGAACATTCCCAACACACCCCGGCAAGGAGGTTCGGTGAATCGAAGACTTTCGGGCAAAGTGGTAAAGATTTTGTCGCGTCCTGTCTCTGGAACGCCATCGAGTGTATCAGCTGGATGTAATATTAAAGTTGTAGTTAGAGTACGCCCGCCAAATGCTAAGGAACAAGAGAGTAATCAACGGTAAAGAATGCAAGTTTTAACACGTGTAAACATTGCACATTTTCGCAATTTTCAGCCATATCATCAGATTTATGGACGATAAATCCTTGATATTTGATCCCAAAGAAGATGAGGTTCCCTTTTTCTACCACGGGGTTCCACAAAAGACCAGGGATCTTCTTAAAAAGGAAAAAAAGGATATTGCCCTTGCGTATGACAGAGTCTTTGATTTCGCATCCACTAATGTGGAAGTTTTTGATAGCAGCACAAAGAGCCTCATTCAAGTCCTGATGGATGGGTGCAATTGTTCCGTATTCGCTTATGGTGCCACTGGAGCTGGCAAAACATTCACTATGATTGGTAAGCTCAGTTATTCAAGAATACAGTATAGAGGAAAGAAAAAAGTGAAAATAGTTTACTCTGAACTGCTGCATTTGATTTATGCAAGGGTGACTATAGCCATCTAAATTTACAGGTAACCCAGAAAGCCCAGGAATCACCTATTTGACTATGGAAGAGCTTTTTATCCATAAAGAGAAACTTAGTGTGGAGCGAGAGTTTGAGTTGATGGTCACCTACATCGAAGTCTACAATGAGTTGGTTAAAGATCTACTAAATCCCGGATCTATTCTTAATTTACGAGAAGACTCTAAATATGGTAATATGAAAAACTTACTCGCTTGCTTACTTTCATAAATTCATCAAAAAATGCAAGAGCAGGCAAATATCCAGATCTTTCTGGCATGTAGAAACAAATTGTTTAAATAACGCCACAAAAGTGGGCGTTGAACGAGCCGCTCACTTCTATAAATTCCTCAAAAAAT